TCCTTCCTTCCTTCCTTCGAAAGTTGTATCCTTCCTTCCTTCCTTCCTTCCTTCCTTCCTTCCTTCTGCGGGAGGGGAGAGCGCAGGGGGGGCTCAAGGTTCAGGTGTTTGATCCTCGTTTGGAAATTCTAAAGGTCACCCCCCGCCCTTAACGGGGCCGCGGGAGGCCGGGACTTGGGGCAAATCCTGTTTATTTCTGTGGGGCCGGGCGGGAGGGGCAGCGCTGCAGCCCCCCACAGCCCGCATGGGGGTCACGCCGTAGTGACTCTGCGGCTGCCTCTGTCACTACCAGAAGTCACTGACCTCCCCGGGGCCGACCCAGGGCGGGTGTCTCGGTTCGAGGCGCTCGCTGCCAACAGCCGAGCAGCCCCCCGCACGCTGCGCGCCCACAGGCCGAGCCGCTGGGGGTGTTTGCAACATCCGTGGTTTCACTTTTCAGGTGTTCCTACACGAGCTCAAAATCCAGAGTTACAGGAAGGCGTCCGAGGCCTCCCCCTTCCCCTCGGCACCCCTGGAAGCCAGTGCAGGGACCGACCCCCGGCTCCATCCTTGCCCCCCAGGCCCTGTCCCTGCCCCGGGCGCTGCCGCGGTGCCACCACACACAGATGCGGATGCGGACATGGTAAAAAATTATCTTGGAAAACACGGAGATGGGGAGGTGTGGGACGATCACCGCTGCACCACCAGAGTTCTCCAACACCTGACGCAGGCACACGGGTCCGTCACTACACTGGGGAGGCCTCTCCTAACCCTAACGTTTTGGAAACAGCTTTCTTTTCCAAATTTTATTTCCTTTCTTTTTTCCCCTTAAGAGCTGCCTTGTCACAAATCCACAAAGAAGCAACCGAGTTCCTGCCCGTCCGGCCACCGGGTTCGGGGCCCGCTGCGGAGGCGGGTGCGTGGGGCGGCGCAGGAAGGGGAGCCCCGGCACCCGCCCCCCAGCTCCTCACGCTCAGAACTGCCCGGCAGCTTTCCCTTCCTAATCCAGCCCTTCCCTGAGGATCGTTAGTTCTTGGTTTATTGCACGGGAAAACCTAAAGCAGCGGGACTGCGGGTTCCTGGCTGGCGGCCCCTGTGCCAGGGGAAGAACCCGCCGGCACTGGGAGAGCGCCTGGGCCCGGAGCCAAACGCGGCTGCACGTGGGAAGGTGAACCCACGGCAGGGCTTTGCCTCAGGGCCAACCATCACGCGAGCCAGCACTTCCCAGATTTACTGTATTTAGTAAAAAAAAAAAAAAAAAAAAGAAAAAAAAAGAAAAATCAACTTGTCGCTGCAGTCAGGACCGTGTCTGGGGGCACAGGAGCCCCTCCCCGGCCAGAGGCTGCAGCGTCTGCTGATGGACTAATGCAAAACTAAACGGGCCCACGAAGGTGACCTCGACTGCGCATGATGCCAGCGCTCGCTGAACATCGTTTCAGCCAGTTTGATTAAACACGCCGAAACGACAATATTTGGTATGTGCGGGCCGCGGGGGGTCGGTGTTACAGCTTCACTGCCACATGTTTCAATCGGGGGGGTCCAACTCTCCCCTCTGTGGAGCCGGGGGGGCCCTGGCTACGTTCAGGCTCAGCGTGACACCGATCCCATTGCGGTGCCCCCTCCTCAGCGTAGCCCCCTGCGCGCTCGGGCGCCCCGCGAGCCAGCCCTGCACCCCCCCGCACCTGAGAGCCGATAAACTCGGCCCAGGGGAAACAGCCCCGCACAGCCCAGGCTGTTGGCCGGCACTGCCGCTCCCTCGGCTTGCTTTCCAGTTTACCAGTTTTCACCTGTGAGCTGGCACCTTGGCTCTGGGTCCTCAGGCTGAGCCCTCGCCACCCTCCGCACACCCGCAGCTCCCACCCCAGTTCTGGAGAAACAATTCGCTGCGTTCACCTCTGCCCCAGGAGGTCTCGTAAGGGACCCGATTCCCTTTCGACATCATTAACCAAAAGCTACGTAGGTGCCTTCAGTTTTCTGAATATGATGCCGAATAAAAACCTCGTTTCTGTTTTTAAAGGGCAACAAGGCCTTACAAATGGAAATTCTGGCCTCTGAAATGCCACAAACGTCAGAAAAGTTTCAGACGGGCTCTGCCAGAGCCTGAGCGATCTAACGGCAACGGTAAAACGTTACACTGATGCGACAGAAAACTGAAAGCTGAAAAAAAAAACAGGAGCAAATAACAATCCAAACCCAAATCTTGTGCATTCAGCAAGCTTCTTCAGCTTGTGGTATCGAAAGGATTTTAATTTAGTGAAAATCGTTAATTATTTAAATTTATGAATATCCCCAAGTCATTCACTCAAAGTGCAGACCGTGGGCCGAGCCTCGGCCGGGGGACGGAAGCTCTTCCCGAGGGAAGGTCTCCCTGGGTGAGGGTCAGTTCACGTGTCGTGGGAACCTGCTCCATCAGCTTGCAATTTACGTTTCATTAGTATTTATACTAATAAACTTAATTGTTCCTGTTGTTTGAGGAGAAGAAGGGAGGTGCAAACAACCAGAGCGTGGGGAACTTACAGGCAAGCGCAGCGGTGCCACGTTCCAAACCATCGCTAAAACATCCCTCGGCCCTGCTGGACTCTGCTGCTCGACGGACACCGTTTGGGGGGGGGGAAAAAAAAAAAAAAAAAAAAAAAAAGACAAAAAAATCCAAACCATTAAAAAGCTGGTGCTTCGCAAAAACATCAGGGGATGTTTCCTACTGTGCCTATGTCCCGACTAACCTGTAGTTGGATTTTCCTGCCGGGGGGGCGTTCTCTCTCCCTCCCTACGCACACAGGTGCTCTCCGCAAAGCCGCCCTCCCCTCTCTCGGCACCCAAAGCCATCGCTGGGTGTTGCTCTTCCACCTATCTGCCGGGTTTGCTGTAAGCCTGGCCTAAGCCCCTGAGCCTGGCCTAAGCCCCTTGCTCCCCTCTGGGCGGGGCAGGGACCCAGCAGCCCCTGGTGCCTGAGGGACACGGGGGCCGCGCGGGGTTACACCCAGCGGCTGTGTCGTCCTTCGACGTTTAGTTTGAATCTCATTACCTCAGTCAGAGCACGCTTGATGGGAAGGGAAGCCAGGTTTAAGAATTTCTAGAGGCTCTGGCAAGCGGAGCAGTGAAAGGCTCTGGCCGTGCTGGCGGGCGACAGCTCCGCTGCTCTGCCGTCGGGATTTTGGGGCGATTTCTGGGTTTTCACGTGTTGCACGCAAAAGGCTCTTCCCAGGCTCGCTCGGTGCCGTGCGTGGCCCCCGCGTGAAGCTGCGCCCGGCGCCTCTCCCCAGGCCGTTACCGATGAAGGGCTGCACAAAGGCTCAAGCCTCACCGACAGCCCCACGCGGGCAGGGCGAGCACGGCCTGCACCACAGGGAAAAAGACCAAGGCAAGGCTGCGGGGAGGGGGGTGCACGTACAGGACCTCTGATTTTAAATTTCAAAGTTAATAAAAATCAAGAAGTTTTACTGCCACCCATCGCAACCTTCTTCCGTTCATGAACCACACCTGCCTAAGCTTCACTGTCCGTCCGTGTCGTGTGTTCACATGGAATCAGCTAGAAGTGTCAAACAAAAGGAAGTTAACCAATTTTCATGGAGGTTATTTATATCTAGGTCCCAGAGTTGACAGTAGAATTTATTAAGTATCTCACCCTGTATAGTGACATTTTTACTAATTAATATGGAGCCAGCTATACACACTGCATATGTACAGGTATTTTCATAAGGCATATAATATCTTTGCATTGAAAATAAATGAACATTATTAAATTTAATTTAATATATACTTTCTTTGAGGTGTTTATGAAAATATTTTTTCTCTATATTTTTGTATGTGACATGATAGAAATATTTCATGGGAAGTACAGGTTAATATATTTTATCTTTATAAAGGCATATACAACTTTGAGGCAGTGTTTCTGATGGACAGCAGAATTCCTAAAGAATTTGTATGTGCTTCTGTGTTTTGAAATCATATGAAATTGACTTTAAGAACTTGATTAAAAAAACGCACCAATGCACAGCCAGAGGCTGACAAGTAAAACTAATACATAGCCACATGAACAATATATTTATATCGTTAATATATTTTTTTTCCAAGATGATTGGTACTAACATATAGTATTATACATTTGGCACTACTGTTTGCCATTGGTCCAGCAATTGGCAAAAATTTGTTTCCTATGTATAAATCTGTTTGAACATTAGATCTGGCTAGACATATTTACTATTTATAAAAAAATATTTAGACAGTAAGCTCACGTTGAATAACTAGGTCTACTGTATTCTGGAAACTCTTCAGTAGTAACACAGCTTTCTCGTGTTCCATATGTACAAAACTGTGTCCGTTTGCCTGTAACACAGAAACAAGAAGAGAAATCAAATGAGATTCTATTTAGGCTCTTCATTTTGGGGGAGCAAAGGGATCTACGGAAATTAAAAGCAAGGCTAAAATAACGAATAGTCATATCAGGATTTCCTGCAAACAGGAGTCTGACGGAGCCCCTCCATCGGGCACCTCCTGCACCCGCTGCTTCGAGCAGGGGCTGGACGAGACGAGCTCCAGGGTCCTCTTAGGCTGCAACTCTGGGAGAGGGGGCGAGTGCTGCCAGAACCCAGCGCTGGCCGCGGCGGAGGATCCCATCAGGGGCAGGCACACGGCACAGAGGGACCAACTGAGTAAACTGTTGTGCTTTTGTGCTCACTCAGCCTTTTGGTAACTTGTTGGTTACAAGTCTATCTGAAATAGTTCCATTTTAAACATAATTACTCAGAGTTTCCTGAGCGTGACCCAAGTAGAAGATCCACCACTCTCCCAGAGGTGACGAGGCACCGAAGGCGGGTAACGCTCGGGGCGGCATCTCCTCCCCGGGCGCCAGCTCCGTCCTCTGACCCCCGCGGCCCTGCTGCAGGGTCACCCAGCTGGGAGATGCTCGGCTGGTGCAGAGCCC